ATTTTATTTACAGTTATTAAATTGGAAGTAATATCGATTTTTTTAAATAACATTTTTTATTTTGTAAAATAATAATATTTTGCAAATAAAATTTGCACATAATTTTAAAAAATCGATTATTTGGATATTGATAGATTAACTTTTAAATATAACATAAAAAATTTAAAGTCGCCATTTTTAAATTACAGCTTTTTAAAGTTTAACCACAGTTTAGTCAGAACTAACAGCTTATCTCGAAGGCAAATAATCGGATCATTATTTATTTTCTGCATGTTCTGCATATAGTTCGAAAGCCGAAATCATGCAAGAGTGGAGGACTGGAAAATATTAAAATTTTTCGAAAGCCGAAATCATTGCAAGAGTGAAGGACTCGAAAATATTAAAATTTTTTCGTAACAAATTCTACTGTGTTCTTTTAAATATGTATTAATATATCTTCAAGATTTTAAAACAAACCGAAAATCACCTGTTTTTATGCTGTTGCCTCTTAAAAAATTAAAACTATGCGTCTCAAGCACATTATCTTTAAAGCTATGAAAAACATTGCCGTGTGCCAGTGCGTATGAGTGGTAYTTCCGCATTAAGTACGTTTATGATACATTTTGTTGCGTATACGCCATGTAGGTCCTAAGCTGTGTATAGTTTCTACTGAAGAGCTTGATTTTCAATGAAAACACTGCCGTTTGCCAGTGCGTATGAGTGATATTTGCACATTGTATTCACATAAGATAAATTTGGTAGCGCATACGTCATGTATATCCCAAGCTAGGTAAATGTTCAAATTAAGAAGTCGTTTTAGGGCGGAAATTTTTAAATAAAATTCATTAAATATTTTTTTTTATTAAAAGGCGAAATTTTAATGAATCAAACAAAGGCAATTTTATTAAAAGTTGAAATTGATTAAAAGTCGAAAATTGTTGAATTAAAATAATAATTCCTTACACTAACAATTTTTACACATTTCTACCAGTCGACTAGWGCAAATTTCCTAGAAAACAATGAAAAATTGCACAAGTTTCCTTCACAGATTTGTTGAATTTCGCATTTGTTTGCTTTACCTGTCCTATTGCTCTACACCATTATTAGTTTTAAGAATAGTTTCCTCCGACACATTTAATTACATATAATGACTTGCGCAGCACCACAAATTTGTTGCAGCACAGCAATTACCTTACTTAATATTGCTTAATGCACACACTCACACAAATTTAAAATAACAAAATTTCAAATATAACCGAAAATACTGACAAAAGTGTCGAGTGGCATGCGGGAGCGCATAATAAAAAAACCACAAACATATGACAACATTTTACGAAAACATTTCTGTAATTACTTTAACGATTTCCGCATGCAATACGTGTCTATA